CATTCCATAAAAACCATAGATCATATGTCCCAAAAGCATGTCATAAAATAGCAATAATATCAAAGTACAAATCCCAAAAATCTCGGTGTTGGGATCAACTCCTCTGAAACTCCTACAAATAACAATCTCCTTTAATTACTCTTTATACCTCAAATGAATGAAGTTCTCTTTCTGGATCCAAAGTTCCTTCTTTCAACCAAACAATTCTAGTTTCCACTTCTTCAAGGAAACACCAAAGAACCACTCGTTTTTCACTCACACACACTCATAAGGCTCAATATCACGAATTAGGGTTCTCTCTCTCTCTCTCTCTCTCTCTCTCTCTCGTGTGTGTGTGTGTATACATACATACATACACACACACACACACACATATATATATATATATATATATATATATATATATATATATATATTCCAATCCATTAAAGACTTTAATTTCGTTAATAATAAATGTCATGACATTTGATTTTTAATATTATTATATTACTATTTTACAGATTTGTATGTAATGTATTCTTTTTATTACTTTTTATAAATCAAACTATATACATACGAATCAAGTAAAATATCTTACTACTTGATAATTTAATTATTTTTTATTAAAATACATTTTTTTACAAATCATCACATTTCAACAAACTTTTATGTATTCTTTTTTGTTGTTTTGTTTTGTTTTTTCGTTTAATTTTATTTCTTTAACTTTCTTTTTCATTGTAGTTTCTTTTTTGTGTTTTTTGATTTTCTATTTTTTTTATATGATTCCATGTTTTTTTTTTCTAATTTGGACTGTATTTAGATTCGATTTTTGAAGTTTAAAATAATAGAAGTTTTAAATTATGATAGATTAAGAATCATAATATTTTTGGATCGTATCATTTTGAATTATAGTATTTTTGATCATATGATTTTGGATAAAATAATTTTAGATCATAATATATTCAATTAAATAAAGTTTTTGTTCATAACAAATTTTGAATTATTATAATTTTTGAATCATTTAATTTTGAGTAAAAAATATGTGATTAATGATCATAACATATTTTGATCGAAGTATTTTTATCATAAAATGTTAAATATTATAAAAGTGTTTAATTATAATTTTTTTTGGATCGTAAGTATTTTGAATCATATCACTTTGAATCATATTATTTTTTTAAAAAAACATGTATCTTTTAAAATATTTGAATCAAAATAACTTTAGATAATAACAAATTAAAGATCATAAATATGTTGAATCATCAAATTTTTTTGAATTATAAATATTTTGAATCATCCCATTTTGGATCATATTATGTTCAGTATTTTTGAAAAAAAAACTATAATCTTTTAAAATAAAATTCCGTATTTAAACTATCTTATTTTTTTTTAAATATTTTTACAAAAAATTCAAAATATATGATATATGATAAACCATTAAAAAGATTTTTGATTTGGAAAACAAAAAATTTCATGTCTTATATTTTATAAAAATTTAGAATCATTTAAACAAAACGTTCATACAATTAATAATATATTTTTTGAGTACTTTTTTTTTACAAACTCATTAAAATAGTACTACGAAAAACTCTATCATTTGCTCTATTAAATTTTGATAAAAAACAATTCCCATTATATTTTATAAAAACTAATATGTCTTTAAGTTTAAAATGGAACATTTCAATAACTTATTTTTGAAAAATTCTTTTACAAAGTCATTAGTATATAAAGTGTAAATATCATTTAAATTTTTATGATTTTTGGAGAATATTTTTTTTCTCATTTTTTTATAAAAAAATAAATATTATTTTTTTTTCGAATTTTCATAATTGTGCTCATTTTGTACAAAATTAAATTTTAAAAACTTTGTTTTTTTAGAATTTTTTTTATAAAGAAAAAAAAAGCTATAGGAAAAAAGCTATATGTGAATAATAATAATAATAATAATAATAATAATAATAAACTCATGTGAACGTGATACATGTCATAGGTAAATTAAATAAATCTAGAAAAAATAGTTTATTATGTAATTATCACAAGTAACGAGGGCGAATAGGTGAATGACGCTGAAGGAGAAATCACAATGTTGTCCAATCATGCGTCGAATTTCAACAATAAGCGGCATAGTTAATGCAAAAATACGAAAATATATTTTATCATATAAAATTCAAACATATGTACTTTAGAAATTAAATTTATTAGCAAGATAATAAGTTTACATTAGAGTGTTATGGTAATATAGATTTAAAAGGTGGTTTTAACAACCGTTTCTCTTTTTTTTTACACTCTTAACCACTTTTAAATTCAAGTTTTCATAATAAAAAAGTCAAAAAACATGTTTTACTAATATGAAAAAATTTCTCATGTATTATCGATTATCATTATGTAACTCAAAATTTGAATGGATTATTGTTCAAAATATAAAGTTGAAGTAACACAATGTAACAACCCGAAATTCGTATCGTTGCTTGTAACCCTTTTCGTAACTCATTTCGATAATCCAATCATCGTTTCCAATTTCGTTTCCTATTCCGTCATTTAATTAAGTCATTAATGTGTATTTTATGTTATGACTTAATGGGTGTCCTAATGCCTTTCGAACTCATTCTAACATCTCATATTAGTGATCGGAACATTTCTAGAATCAACCACATCGAGTTACAGCAACTTAATCGGGTGCAACCAAAAGCCCCGTCTAACGCCGGTATCGGGTAAAATTCCTCCGTGTCCAAATCCCGAACACTATTTAAAGTGTTCTAAGCTTCCATTTGAAGCTTTTGCTTCATCTCTCAACTCTCTCTCTCTCTAACCTCTCTCCTAAATCCAAGTTTAAGGGTCCAAATCATCAATTTAAGGCTTCAAATCTTCAAGGTAACTTCCCTAACTTGTTATGCAACCCCTCTAGCCTTCAAACCCGAGTTTAAACCATAGATTAGGACCATTATCATGAGTTTATGGCCCTAGATCAGTCCTAGGCCGTAAACTCATATAAATGGGGTTTTTGAGCAACAAAACCCTTCCAAACCTCAATTAGACCTTAGATATGGCTAGATGACTTCATGGAATGGACTTGGAATGCCTTAAACATGGTTTTTGAAGAGTAAACATGAGTTTACTGCCCAAGAACAAGCTTGGGCCGTAAACTCCTCATTCATGGGGAGTAAACTCTTTTTCTTGTGTTATAAAGCCATATAAACACACCAATAGCCTTGGAATAAATCCTAGAATCATCTAAAAATAGTTTGGGGACCTTAAACATGTCAAACACCCTCCAATTAGGTGTTTACGGCCATGAAACCCCAAGAATATGTTCCAGGGCTGTAAACTCCTAAAGATGAGTCATTTGGTGCCCTAAATTCATACCAAGGCTTGTAAAAATTATTGGAATCACATGTGATTAATCTTGGGACATTAAATCACTCATTCAAGGAGAGTATAGGAGTTTACGGCCGTAAGCTCCATGCTAGGGCCATAAACTCCCTTAAATAATGTCATTGGTGATTTAATTTCCATCCCATGCCTTAGATAAAATTGTACCAACTCTTCCCAAGTGATATTGACCATTTTAGCACCATAAAACACCCAAACACGAGTTCATGGTCGTGAACTCATGTAAGTATGGTATAAGAGTCCGAAAACTCATTAGGGAGTTTACTCTTGAAGAGTAAACTCAAATCCCAAGTCCCACACATCAATACACGTCTGTAGATGTCACCCGGGTCACTCCAAACACTCGTTTTGAAGTGTTTTCGCTCATTGGAGTGTAATATCATATCTAATTAGAGTTTATAAATCTAATTAGATATATTTGTATATCATTTCATAATCCATAGGAATCTTGTGCGTTTGCGAACCCAGAACTGACGTGTTTCTCAACCGGTGAGTTCATACCCTTACCTTTTTTCAATGGTTTTTAAATGTTTTCAGGGAGGATATACAAGCAAAAGTACAAGAATATCTTGTACTTAAATTCATTATTTCATTTAAATGGTTTCATAATTCTCACACTTTTAAGAATTGAAAACCTACTAACAAACTGTTTTAATTTGCAGAATTGTTTGTTCAAACGATTTCAATTCTTATTATTTACTGTTATGTTTCACAATCGATTGTTCACACTTACATTGATAGAGATCATAAAACATTGTAATGTCAGTAATAGAACACTCTAGGCTCGAGTGTAAAAGACAGACACCATTAGAAAACATAAAACATTTGTAATGTCCTTAATAGAACACCCTAGGCTCGAGTGTGAAGGACAGACTCCATTAGAGAACATAAAACATTTGTAATGTCCTTAATAAAACACCTAGGCTCGAGTGTAAAGGACAGGCTCCATTAGAACTTAGTTAGTCATAGATACTACTTCCCCTAGGCACGAGAAGTAAAGAGAAATCTTAAAGATTGGAGACACGTCCTCTGTAACACTTCCTTGGCACGAGAGAGTGGAGGGCTAACCCTGTAACCAGAATCTTCGAGCAGAGGAGAGCGTGACTTGAGTGTATACATCTATACGGGACTGACAATCTCGCACCTGGCTGCTAGCTACAGCCGAACCGAAAGGTTTAAGGGTGACGAAAGTCATAAAAAGGATATTGACCATGACCCGAGTCATATCTAGTCTGAAGTATGGTTAAGGACTCGCAATCAAGATTATGAACACGTTATACTTAATTATTAGTTTTATATATGTGTTAAAACTAATGTACATATAAGGATAATCAGACTTTCAAGAGACTTCACACATAGGTAGGAAAATATGGGATTTTCCTGGGAATAACATTTAACATAATCAGAATCGGTAACAATTCACACACACACACAGGTAGGAAAATATAGGATTTTCCTAGGTAATAGTAGTACGTAGTCAGAAAGTGTAATAATTTGAATAACTAAACTTTACAATTCACAAGAACAATTATGATTTCAGTGTACATCTTTTACATTACAATTTGGATTTGGTGAACATTATTTTTAAGAAAATATGGGATTTTCTTGGATAATCGCTTTTTCAGGAAACCAAAGGAACTCGTACATTTTCAAAAAACTAACTGCTTATGAACTCACCAGCTTTATGCTGATTTTCAAACCGCTTGTATTCTCAGGTCCGCATTAGACAGGTACCCGACGATCGCTTTTGGCGAAGACGGAGTGCGTAGAAGAAGAAAAGGGAGAAAAGGTTCATTCTCCATCTTTTTAGTTCTAAATAATGCTACAATAGGAATTGTAGAAAAAGCGCAGATTCATAATTAAAAGTTATAAATTCAAGATTTCAAGAACACCATGTAAGAGTTGACAAGAAGATAATCTATGCATGATGCGATCTTTAAATTTGCATTCAAATGGTTGACAATATAGGTTTCAAGCATAAAATGCTCTAAATATGCAGGATGCTCAGGAGTATGAATTGAAAAAGAATAAAACAAGCTTAATTGCAATTTAGCACCATGCAAGTGTTAAAAAGAATGGAATCAGGCCATAATTTTAAACAAGAGTGTCTTGACATCAGCCTCAAAAGCTCATATCATCATAGACATTCAACAAAGACCAAATCCAAAAGAAAATGAAACTACAAGGATAAAAAATGCAACAAGATTTACGTTCATCGAAGGAAGTCAAAAGGAGAAAATAGTAAACTATAAAAAATAATAAAAGGTGAGCAGAAAAAGAAGGGAAAACTTAAGTTCAAATCAAAAGGTTAATAATAATTTTGGAAAGGACATTGAAAAGACATCTCATCAAAATGTAAGAGACATCACAAATAGGCCTATATATGAAATAACACATCTTGTATCATGCCTAGACAACTAAGAAACAACTATATAATCAAAAAAGAAAACATATAACATAATATTTGTTCACACAAGACGTGAAATAACCAAGGCGCCATGATCAAAATGAATTGAAGGATATATATTACATTTTTCTACTCCTCACTTAAGGCTTAAAGATAACACACAAAATTGAATACACATGCTAAAGAAATCATCAATTATCTCAAACATAATGGAAGAGGAGTGGCATGTTTGTTTATGCACCTTAGATTCTACTGCAGAAAAAAGGTGAGATGATCTTAGTTAATATGAGAAAATGAGCTTACAACAATAATGAGAGTACAATGCTTGGATTTTTCAAAGTAAAATGCTTTTTTAAGAAAATTTTAATAGGTACAATGCTAAAAAAAGGAAAACTGAATGTGAAATGCTACAATTTGCTTCATTTTTCAAGGGAAATGTGCATTTTTATAGGCAAACTGAAAATACAATGCTATATGATAGATTTTTCAAAGTAGAATGCCTTGATAAGAAAAAATGATATACTTTTCAAAATAATATGCCTTGATAAGAAAATACTTGAATGTTTTAACACAAATATTATATAGTTTTGCTTCAACAACAATTAAACAACCAAAAAAAGCAAAGTACATAAAAATAACTTAAAAAGATACCCAAAAACTCACTATGGTTCTTCTTTGTTCTAAATGATTGACCAAGAGAGTCAAACATTGAACTTAAAAAGAATAAAGAGTAGGATCAAACTTATGATAAACAATTACAAACAAATAAAACCAAAAGATTAAAAGATTATGATGAAAAACAAGAAACCCAATGACCTTAATTTTCAACTAGGAAAGAATTATATAAGGAACCTCTGCCATTCAAAAATCAAAACCCTTAAAATAAATCATTGACAGATGAAAAAACATACATGCTATAATTATACAATGTTTAACACCAATAAAACTGAAGAGCGCAAAGCTACAAATAGGATATTTTTTTAAAGGGAAATATGCTTATTATATACAGAAAAAGTACACTGCTATAATTGGTAGAATTTTCAAAATAAAATGCCTTAAAAGTGAATAATATGATAGTTTTTTGATAGCTACTTGCATAAATTACAAATTGTCACCAAGAATATGTTTTTGTAGTGAGATATTTTGGATAAATACATGCATAGAAACTGTAGAAAAAGAAGGAGATGCTCTAAAGATTAAAATTCAAATCTACTAAACTGCTGTCTTAAAAAGATAAAAGGAGAAAACTGAGTAAAACATCATAGCAACTATATAAAAAAAGCTGAGATGATCTTAAGATTCAAAATAGAAAGGATCAATAATGGAAGAGAAATCATTTTTTTTATAAAAAACCTAAGTAAACATGCTAACAGAGGTAGACATATATATAATACACATTGGCCAAAGTAAACATAATTGCACCAAGTTCTGTACAGGTAAAGTGGTTGAATGGGTAAAGATGTTTGTATGGATAAAATGATGTATACAAAATTTTTAGACTGAATAAACCGTCTGAATGACAGTTTTACACTCGACTTCCAAAAGGTTGATACATATTCAACATTTTAATAAAAGACAAATATACTATATAGATGTCCAGAATAAGTCAGTAAATCAAAAAGAAACACTAAATATACATTCCATAGCATGAATATAGTAGTACTAAATAGTGTAAGAGCACACAAATCCAAAAGGTTATTAAGCAAATGAAGATATATTAATAAATATGGGATTAGATCATAATCCATTTTAAGATTAAAATAAGGTAAAACAAGAATTAACCACTGTATTATGTATACATCATTTTATCCATACATGTGTTTTCCTCCAATATAGCCACTGTATAAACAAATTAAATGTTATTAAGATTCATAATGAAAAGAAGGTTAATAATAGAAAATTTCATCAAGTAAAGAAAAAGACCCAAAGCATCTCAAGACAATGAAGAGAAGTAGGTGAAATTTTTACTTTAATTCATCTGGTATCTTCTTGTTCTAAAGGATTGACCAAGAGATTCTAAGATTATATATATGTATAAAATGATGAAAAACAGATAAGCAAGGAATTCAAAAACCCTAATTTTCAAATAGGGTAAAATTGTATAGGGAACACTTGTGACATCCAAAAATCAAAACCCTTCAAAAGAAGAAGACAACTGACAGATGAAAAAGCAAAATAAGAAAAACACAGACATGGGTTGAAGAGACATGAATCATTTCGTGGTTGGGCTAGCTTCCTAACGAACAAATCAAAAAGGTTATTGAACAGATAAAAATATATTAATATGAAAAAACAAGATTAACTTTCATAAAAAAATGTAAAATCTATAAGATAGGATGCACATGAACATGAATAAAGGGGGTAAATAATACGAATGGACAAAGCAAACAAACAACAATTTACCACAAAGCAATGGTTGAGTATATATATATATATATATATATATATATATATATATATATATATATATATATATATATGTGTGTGTGTATGTGTATTTCCCTCCACCATAGCAAATGTATAAATAAATTAGATGTAATTAAGATTCATAATGAAAAGGTTAATAAAAGAAAAAGTCATTAACTAAAGAAATAAGAAAGGACAACCCATCTATCTCAATAGCAATTTACCAGCATTCATTCTCTTGAGATTAAAAATCAAAAAGTTAATATAAAATGATGTATACATAATTTTTAGATTCCAAAAGGCTGATACATATTCAACATTTTAATAAAAAACAAATATACTATATAGATGTTCAGATTAAGTCATTAAATCAAAAAGAAACACTAAATATACATTCCATAGTATGAATATAGTACTAAATACACAAATCCAAAAGGTTATTAAGCAAATGAAGATATATTAATAAATATGGGATTAGATCATAATCCATTTTAAGATTAAAATAGGGTAAAATAAGAACTAGCCACTGTATTATGTATACATCATTTTATCCATACATGTGTTTTCCTCCAATATAGCTACTGTATAAACAAATTAGATGTTATTAAGATTCATAATAAAAAGAAGGTTAATAATACAAAATTTCATCAAGTAAAGAAAAAGACCCAAAGCATCTCAAGACGATGAAGAGAAGTAGGTGAATAACATAACTTTTGTTCACATAAGACCATTATATATATATATATATATATATATATATATATATATATATATATATATATATATATATATATATCCACAAAATAAACAAGTTATTAGAGATAATCACTGTACCTATATCAATGAAGAAAAACAAAAATGTGATGTATATGTGATACATACAACAAAGTAGATAAAAATAACTTAGAATTGCTCATCTAGAGAAACCCAAAAAGAAAACACACTTGTAGATGAATGAATTCAAAAAATAATATATTTATGATTAGCCATCTAACAAAGCATTAAGGAACAAGACACATCTCAACTATTTACAAAAAATAATATCTTTAATTCATTCGGTATCTTCTTTTTCTAAATGATTGACCAAGAGATTCTAAGATCATATATATAAAATGATGAAAAACAGATAACTAAGAAACTCGAGAACCTAATTTTCAAATAGGAAAAAACTGTACAAGGAACACTTGTGACATCCAAAAATCAAAACCCTTCAAAAGAAGAAGACAACTGACAGATGAAAAAACAAAATATGAAAAACACAGACATTGGTTGAAGAGACATGAATCATTTCATGGGCTAGCTTCCTACCTAACGAACAAATCAAAAAGGTTATTGAACAAATAAACATATATTAATATGGAATACATATATAAGCCATTTAAAGAAGATTAACTTTCATTAAAAAAAATGTAAACTCTATAAGATAGGATGCACATGAACATGAATAAAGGGGGTAAATAATAAGAATGGACAAACCAGACAAACAACAATTTACCACAAAGCAAAGGTTGAGTAAACATATATGTGTATTTCCCTCCACTATAGCAAATGTATAAATAAATTAGATGTAATTAAGATTCATAATGAAAAAGTTAATCAAAGAAAAAGTCATTAACTAAAGAAATAAGAAAGGACAAACCATCTATCTCAATTGCAATTTACCAGCATTCATTCACGAGATGCTCTTAAGATTATAAATCAAAAGGTTAATATAATCTCCACTGCTGTGAAATATGAATTGAGTGTCTGAATAAAGAGTTGATGAGAACTACATATGAGTAAACATATGTTATGCCAATGTAGAAGCTAAAGAAAAACTTGGAGAGACATATAATAGAGGGGCCGAAAAGTGAAATTTAACTTTAAAACCATGCATGGGTAAGGATACAAAAAAGGAAAGACCCCACAGTAAGTACAGAAATCATTAATTAATAGAAGAGCAGAGAAGTCACCTATTTGTGCCCCTTAAATTCTAGCATTAAGTCCTGAAAAATTGCATTGCTCTTGACTCTTGAGAAATCACCAACTATGAGGCACAGAAACTAACTATGAGGCAAGTAGTCGAGTTGTTTTCAGCATTGCATAGCATCAATAAAGTTGATTCCTAATAATACATATGATACAACTCATGAGAAGTAAAAATGGAAGTCTGGATCATTTACTTCAAAGTTCATTGTTGTGAAATAGTAAAAATATAAAAAATGTGGGCAATTTAGTCATTTCACATGGATTTAGTTTGGGCGTGAAGTCCAAATTTAACAGAAAATGGAACCACAAGGATAAAATTCGTTTTTGGGTAATATCCGAATACAAGTGTTATAGAATAGGGACTAAATTTGTAACATACCAGAAGGTCACTAATATAAAATTGAAAGTGCAAAATGATAAACTCATAGGATGCTAGCTAGTAAAATCAATTTAACACCATGTATGAGTTGACAAGAACCAAATCAGAGTAAATATACATGCAATAGGAATTGTAGAAAAAAATCTCAGAAGATCCAAAATTAAAAGTTTCAATAACATAATGGTGAAAGTTCACTAGTCTGTTATAAACAGATCGGATGCCAAAAGATAAGTGGAAAAAAAAAAGACAAAAAGCTCAATTGCAAGAGTTGAAAAGAAGATAACCTAACCTGTGCATGAGGCAATATGTTTAGATTTACAATTAAAAGGTTGATAATATAATATATATACCAGCATGCGAGAGTTGACAAGAGTGGAATCTGAGTAAACATGCATGGACTTTGAAAAGAACATCTCAATTGCAATTTAGCACCACAAATGAGTTGAAAAGAACCAAATTAAAGTACACATGCATGCATGTATGTATTATTAGGTTCCACCATAGCCACATAACTAGATAGGATTCCTAAGGTTGAAGAACACAAACATGGGCTACCTTTCCTAATGAACAAATCCAAAAGGTTATTAAACGAATGAAAATATATTAATATGGATAACACAATGCAAGAGTTAACAAGAACTCAACATGAGTAAAGATACATGATTCATAATCAAAAGGTTAATAATTTATAACCACAGAAAAACGATGAGCTGTTATCAAGCTTCAGAATCAATTGGACTGAAAAAAAAAAATTGTTTGAAAAACAATGAGATGTTATCAAACTAACTATCTCAATGGGTTGAAGACACATTTTTTGGGCTTGCTTACTCATGAACAAATCTAAAAGGTTATTTAGCAAATGAAGATATATTAATATGGGATTAGATCATAAACCGTTTAAAGAAGATTAATTTGAAGGAAAAAAAATGTAAAATCTATAAAATAGGGGTAAATAAGAATGGACAAACCAGACAAACTGCAATTTATACCAACAAGCATCAGTAGACAAGAAGTGACTTCCAGTAAACATATGTGTGTTTTCCTCCACTATAGACTCTGTATAAATAAATTAGATGTTATTAAGATTCATAATGAAAAGGTTAATAATGGAAAAATTCATTAAATAAAGAAAAAGACCCCAAGCATCTCAAGAGGATGGAAGACAAGTAGGTGAATAAGAAAGGAAAAAACATCTCAATTGCAATTTACCAACATACACGAGATGCTCTTGAGATTAAAATCAAAAGGTTAAATATAACAAATAATCTACACTGCTATGAATCAAGTGTCTGAATAAAGAGTTGATGAGAAGTAAATATGAGTAAAACTATCATAGAAACAATAAAAAACGAGGTGATATGATCTTAAGACTCATAATAAGAAAGGTTTAAAATGGAAGCATCAAAGAAAAGATTACATTCTTAAAGAGGAATCAACAATTATCAAGCACAGAATAGAATATAGCAGAAACTGACTATCAGTTATTATCAATGATCAAAAGTAGGAGGAGAGAGCAAATAACCTAAACCACCATAAACACTGTATTCAATCAAAATAAAAACATAAACATGCTGGTAAACATAACTTTTTTAAGCTTATTATAAGATAAATTTAAATACAATGCTATTATTGGTAGATTTTCAAAACAAAGTGCCTTGATAATGAAAAATATGATAGATTTTTAAAAGTAAAATGGGTTGATAAGATGATAAATTTTGAATGTAATAATGTTGCAACAGAAAGAAAACAAACAAGTATGAAGCTATAAATGGGTTGATTTTTCAGAGGGAAATTAATATGCTATAGATAGTATTTTTTTTTTTCAAAAAAAAAAATGCCTTGATGAGGAAAAAGCTTGATAGATTTTTATTACAAGTAAAATGCATTGAGAATACACACAATGCTATATTTTGGTTTGAAATGCCAATCAATGTAAACTAATACACACAAGACAACAAAATATATACCTAGATAAAATAATTGAAGTGTTTTGCTGTTTCTCAGCATTGATGCCCACTATAATTGACAAGATTTAAGAACACACAACAATTGTATCTTCTTACACTGTCCACGAGAATATTCAAAATTAAAAAGAATAAAACCAACTGCATAAATTACAAACTGTCACAAAGGGGTGGGATAATTACATCAAACAAAAAATAAAAATAGAAAAGGTTAGAGAAGTTTACCTCATGAAAGACTTCCTTGATAGACATCCAAAAAATGATTTGTAGACATGATCATATTTCTGCACATGAAGGGTAGGATAGTCATATTCTAATATTCAACATACAGTTATTTCTTTCATCTAACAGTAAATGTTAAATGTTGATTTTTATTTTGTTTACACTTCTCTTTGGTGGCACCTCATCAATAACAACAATTTCATAACCCCTGGGCAAACCCAAAAATTAAATTATTGTGGCCTTTAAATAATCAATTCTGCATCAGATAAATAACTCTCAATTTTGTTGAATGGAAAATTATGTACCTTTGAGCTTTAAATCCTTTCCTAACATCTGATCTTGAAACATGTCTTTGACCTCCTTCAAACAAGTCATCGGTTGTGACTTTCTGTCCATTGTTGTGATTGAGTTCTTGTACAGAGTTAGTAAAAATATGAAAATGTGGGCAAAATAGTCATTTTACATGGGCGGCATGAAGCCCAAAGACCAAATCCAAAAAGGATAAAAAGTGCAAGAAAAACAATCCGATGTACAATGAAGATACTACTAAATAGAGATATGAACACAGCAGGTAAGTCACATGTTTGTGCCCTAAATTTTAGCATCATGTCCTGAATACTTAAGAAAAACTGCATTGCTCCTGAGGTACAATGAAAAAAAAAAAACTAAAATCAACAAACATGGAATCGACAATGAAAAATCAATAAACATACATGCATTTTGTGCCACAATCACAACTGTAGAAAAAATGAGATGGACTTCATATTTATAATCTAAAGGTTAATAATATTGTTTTTAATTGTAGAATAGTGAGAGTTCATTACACTTATATATATTTTATGGATGTTTCATCAAACGATTAAACAACATAAAAAATCTCCTTTGTTGTCGAGGAAAACAAAAAGAAAAAGTCAGCAACAGAGTTGAACTTCCCCATCACTGGAAAAAATATTAAAAAGATGAAAGGAATTCAAAGCAAGTAAAATCAATACACATACAAGAATGTAAATATACATTCCATAGCATGAATATATTACTAAATAGTGAAGAACAGACAAATAGTTGAAGAAGAATCTAAAAATGTGGGCAAAATAGTCATTTTACATGGATTTAATGGCTAACTTTAGACAGGCATGAAGAATTAAAAGAAAACAGGTGGTTATATAATAGGGACAAAATTTGTAATTTAGTATAAGAGTGGGTGAATAAGAAACAACAAACTGTCTCAATTGCAATTTAACACCATGTAACTGTAGAAAAAAACAGCTCCATTGTGATTTGTGAAAGTTAATAAGTTGAAGCATAGAATGATGAAAGTTCATTAGATTGCTCTAAAAATGCAGGATGCCTCCTAGCTTGCTTAATCAAAAACATCATATTAGTAATGCATAACTTGTGTACAGAAAATAAACCATGCAAAGAAGAGTTCATTATAACAGCCGTAGAAAAAAGACCAGATGATTTCAAAATAGTCATGATCAATTAAGTGAAAATAAATTTATTCTTAATTATTTAGAATCGTGAAAGTTCATTCATTATACTAATATGAGGGAGATAAGTCAATCAATTGAAGAAGCCCTCTGTGTAGACAAACGAACTATTTAAAAGAAAATCAAACCATGTGTACTTGAAAGAAATGGGACAAGGGAAACATTCATGTAAACAGAAATACATCTTAAGATTCACTATCAAAAGGTTGTTTATAATCTCAGATTTCAAAAACAGAATCATTACACTGCAATAAAAAAAAATGGGATACATTTAGTGCCAATTATACTAACAGAGAGAGAGAGAGAGAGAATTGACATTAGGCACCCACGTGAAAATATAAAAAAGTGGATACACTTAGTGCCAATTATGCTTCAGAGTTCATTGTTGTGAGATTCTTGTCCATTTTTAGTAAAAGTATAAACATGAAGGCAAAATAGTTATTCTACATGGATATAACAGCTAACTTATATTCAAAAAAAAAAAAATGAAACTACAACAATCAAATATGCAAGAAAAACCATTTTTGGTCAATATTTGAAAATAAAGTGCAAACTAGATGTTGGAAAATGAAAATAGTCAATCAAAAAAGAGCATCAAGGTGAAAATGAGCTATAAAAATAACATTAAATATATTTTTATACTTATATAAGAGAGGTTTTTAATGTATTAAGAAAGCAATTTAGAAGTCTTGGGCTTTTAAAAGTCATATTATTATCCTCATCCTACTCCGAGTTAAACCTACAGTAAGTAACTAGCATAAGATTAAGGGCTTAAAAGCTGTAAAATAGAAAGGGAAAAGTTAATTACACTGCTATCTTTTGATTTTGATTCAGCAAAAATGAAACAACCTAAAAAGGCTCCATTGTGTTATCAATAATAGATAAAAGTCAACTAACTTAATGCATTTTTTCAGGACTTAATGCTAGAATTTAAGGGGCACAAATAGGTGACTTCTCTGCTCTTCTATTAATTAATGTTTTTTCCTTCGTATTCGCACCCCTCTATTATTTGTTTGATTATGTGCTTTAACTAACTTGTAGTTTTTACTAGCTTTTCATTTAATTGATATTGTAGGGCTGATTGATGTATTATTATTATAAATGATCAAAAGGAAGAGGAAAGAGCAAACACCCTAAACCTAAACCACACCACATTAATTAAGGTTTAGCCAACAAAATAGAAAGACAAAAAAAATAGCTTCTAACTAAAATTTCTAATATTTCTTTTTAAGTTCTAATCCTAATTTAATAATTCTTTTTACACCTATTTTAAGATTCAAAACTAAAATTTTAATAATCTACAGACACTGCTATGAACCGAGTGTCTGAATAAAGAGCTGAAGAGAAGTAAATATGAGTAAAACATTACAGTAAAAAGTACAAATCAGAGAATTAATATTAATGAACAGAAGTAAAACTCATATAAGTGACATTGATATCCCTTCATCTTTCAAACCACAACAGAATACATTTATTAAAAGTTTAGCCAACAAAATAAAAAGATGAATAATATACCTGAAAGTGGTACCTAAACACATGAAAATAGTCTACAAGAGGGACATCATATTCAGGCTATTAGTCGAGTTGTTTTTAACATAATGTCCTTCCTGCAAATATGAGCAAGATAGAAAAGACCAAAACATGAAACATGTTGAAATAAGAAAAAAAATGTTAATAGAGTTGATTTAACATCAATCAAGTTGAGTCCTAATAAGAAATACGATACAGTTCATGAGAAGTAAAATGGATGTCTGGATCATTCGATTCAAAGTTCATTGTTGTGAGTTCATGTACAGAAGAATTAGTAAAAATACAAAAATGTGGGCAAAAAAGTCATTTTACATGGATTTAATGGATAACTCAGTTGCAATTTAACATCATGTATGAGTTGACAAGAACCAAATCAGAGTAAATATGTGTGCATTAATTAAGTAATATTGTAATAAAAAGCTCAGATTCAAAATTAAAAGTTGAACAATGAAGATTTCAAGAACATGATGATGATGGAAGTTCACTAGTCTGCAATGAATAAATAGATAGGATGCCTAGAGATATAAAAAAAAGATCAGGTGAATAAAGAAAAGACAAACCAGCTAAAATGAAATTCACCACTGTGCAAGCGTTGACACTTTAGATTTACAATCAAAAGGTTGATGATATTAGATTTCAAGAAAATAATGTTTGGATCTTTGGATCCATACATGCATTTGTTGCCACCATAGGAGCTGTAGAAAAAGAATGAGATGATCTTAAGATTCACAATCAAAAGGTTGTTAATAATCTCAGATTTCAAGAACAGAATCATTACACTGCAACAAAAGAGAGAAAACATGCACATAAAGACCAATATGGAAACAAAGATACTTCAAAATCATCATCATTCCAATCTGTCTCCTGTAAGGTATAATATATAATATCCACAAAATAAACAGGTTAGTGGAGATAATCACTGAACCTATATCATTGAAGAAAAATAACTTGGAATTGCTCATCTAGAGAAACCCAGAATGAAAACACGCTTGTAGATGAATAAATTCAAAAAATAATATATTTATATGAGACAGATAAGCCATCTAACAAAGCATTACGAAACAAGACACATCTCTCAACTATTTTCGGAAATATTCATCAAACCCTCCCTACGATAAAAGGGGAAAACCCCCAAAAATTTTATTATGATTCATTCTATCTTCTTGTTCTTAATGATTGACCAAGAAACCCAAACAATGAACTTAAGAAGATTAAAGAGCAGGATCAATCGACTATCAAAAACTATTTCAAATAAACAAAACCAAAAGATTCTAAAGATTATCTATGCATAAAATGATTACAAATAAAAAGACCAAAAATAACTAAAAATAATTACAAATAAAAAGACCAAAAATACAAAATGAAGAACATAATAAAAAACAAGAAACCAATAACTAAAAAGCTAAATGACCTTAATTTTCAAGTAGGATGGATATAAGGAACCTCAGCCATTCAAAAAAAAAATGAAAAAAGATATATTAATATGGGATTACATCATAAGCCGTTACAAAATTTATTTTTATGAAAAAAAAAAAAAAAAAGGAATTTAACTGAATTCTGATAGTTAAAATGAAGCAATTCCAGGTGAAACCACACCATTTAACTGAAAGCTAGTAAAAACTACAAGTTAATTAGTTAAGGGCTTGAAGCACAAAGGAAGCCAAAAAGGAACATATACATTTTTCTACTCATCAGGCACACAAAATTGAATACACATGCTAAAGATACCCCAAGTATAGAAATCATTGATTATCTCAAACATAATGGAAGAGGAGGAGTGGCATGTTTGTTTATGCACCTTAGATTCTAAGTGCTATGTTGAACAATTATGAAGCAGTGATCAAAATATAGCAAATGTTGACAAACTAATAGTATACATGATCACAAAACCTAAACCACCACATTAAGGTTAAGGTTGTTGTATTATAAACCAGGAGACGATTTCGGGCCCACAAACCAGAAGGAGATATGGGCATGGCAACTCTTTGAACCGAATTAATGACATATCAGATCAACCATGGTTACTGTTACTTGAAGTCAAGTCCAATGTTCTCTATGTCTGGTATAACAGAAATATGAAAAGAGCAGCTGACACTGAGAGGGTGCCAAGGGTAAAATTAAACTACAGGGAGATGATATAATCCAGATTTCAAGTACAGAATAATCTAAATTATCAAAAACATGCCAACTTCTGGAAAGGTAAAGCAGCTGAATGGGTAAAGATGATGTTATATGGATATAATGTTGTATGCATGTTTCTTTTACCTATCTCCAAATAGATTAAAAAGAAAGAAAGAAAACTGGTGACTTGTATCTCCAAATAACAAGGTAGAGAGAGTATAAAAGCATTAAAATAGCTCATCTACAAAAACATATTCTAGGAAAAAAGGACAAGTCCCCAAACACATTACATACATCAATCAAAACCATATGATAATTAGAATACAAAAAATATTCACAAAAGTTTACATCATCGTACCTGTATCTCTTAAATGCGATAAAAAAGAACTGCTAGATTTATAAAAGTTAAATGCCTTAATAAGAATATATATATATATGATTTGATCTTTTAAAGGGAAATGTGTTGACAATAAGAAAACTGAAAGTACAATACTATAAGTGGTAGATTTTTCAACGAAAAATGCCTTGATGAGAAAAATTTTGAATGTTGCAATGTTGATTTTTCAAAGGAAAATGTTTTGGAAAGTTTATGACAAGTAAATATAAAGTACAATGCTTATAATTAATTTTCAATGGGAAAAAATTGAAAATTAAAAAGTTGTAAGTTAAAGAAAACAGAAAAAGCACAAATCTATAATTGTTTGGTAGATTTTTCAAAATAAAATGACTTGATATTGAAATAAATGATATATTTTTTTAGATGTAAAAAGCCTTGATGATATAAAATTTGGAAGTTATAAAGTTACAGAAAGAAAACTAAAAAGTATGATGCTATAAATGGGTTGATTTTTCAAAGTAAAATGCCTTGATAAGAAAATGCATTGCAAAATAAAACTTGAACATTACAATGTTGGTACATTTTTCAAAACAAAATGCATTACAATGTTGGTACATTTTTAAAAGTAAAATGCATTGATAAGATATAAAATTTCAATGTTATAATGTTTTTAATGAAAAAAAAAAAGAACTAGAAAGTGTGATGCTAAAATTTGATTCGACTTTTGAAAGTAAAATGCATTGATAAAATAAAGAAATGATAGATTTTTACAAGTAAAAAAGGCTTGATAAGCTAAAACTAGAAAGATAATTGAAATTACAATGATATAATTGGTAGATTTTTAAAAATGAAATTCTTTGATTAAAAAACATCTAATAGATTTTTCAAAATAAAATCCAAAGATACGAAAAAAAAATTGACGGATTTTCATAAAAAATGCCTTGATAAGAAAAAAAAAGTTGATAGATTTTTCAAACTAAAATGCCCTGAAAATAAAAGATTTGATAAATACTTCAAATTAAAATTATTTGATAAAGCTAAATTTAAAAGTGATAATGTTGTAACACACACACACACACACACACACACAAAAAAAAAAAAAAAAAAAAAAAAACTGAAATGAATAATGCTGTAGTTGTGTTGATTTTCAAAGTAAATTTCCAATGTGTAACAGAAAGAAAACTGAAAATTGTAATGCTATAAAAAGTATTTTTTTTAAAGACAAATATGCTTATAATAAGAAAAATGAAACTACGGTTATATAATTGGTAGATTTTTCAAAAGAAAATTCTTTCATATTGAAAAATATGAAATACTTTTAAAACTAAATTGTCTTGATAACATACAATTTGAAAGTTATAATGGGTTGATTTTTTTTAAAGTAAGATTTCTTGATAAGAGAAAGCTTGAAAGTTATGATGTAACAAAAAGAAAGCTAATTACTACGCCCAGATAATGAAAAATATGATATGATTTTAAAAGTTAAATGCCTTGATAAGATGAACTTTGAAAGGAAGACTGTTGTAAAAAAAAAAAAAAAAAAAAAAAATACTTTAAAAGTGTGATGCTATAAATAGGTTGATTTTCAAAGGAAAATGTTGTATTTGAATAAAAAGAATCTGACACCTTTTTCAAAATAAATTTTCTTGATAAGAAAACTTGAAAGTTTTAACGTTGTAACACAAATAAATCCAAAATTTACAAAGTTATATTTGGGTTGCTTTTATAAAAGGAAATGTGCTTATAATAAGAAAAATGTAAGTACAAAGCCATAATTAAAAGATTTTTCAAAAAAAAAAAAAAAAAAAAAAAACCCTTAAAAAGTGTGATGCTATAAATAGGTTGATTTTCAAAGGAAAATGTTGTATTTGAATAAAAAGAATCTGACACCTTTTTCAAAATAAATTTTCTTGATAAGAAAACTTGAAAGTTATAACGTTGTAACACAAATAAAACCGAAATTTACAAAGTTATATTTGGGTTGCTTTTATAAAAGGAAATGTGCTTATAATAAGAAAAATGTAAGTACAAAGCCATAAATAAAAGATTTTTCAAAAAAAAAAAAAAAAAACCCTTAAAAAGTGTGATGCTATAAATAGGTTGATTTTCAAAGGAAAATGTTGTATTTGAATAAAAAGAATCTGACACCTTTTTCAAAATAAATTTTCTTGATAAGAAAACTTGAAAGTTATAACGTTGTAACACAAATAAATCCAAAATTTACAAAGTTATATTTGGGTTGCTTTTATAAAAGGAAATGTGCTTATAATAAGAAAAATGTAAGTATAAAGCCATAATTAAAAGATTTTTCAAAAAAAAAAAAAAAAAAACCCTTAAAAAGTGTGATGCTATAAATAGGTTGATTTTCAAAGGAAAATGTTGTATTTGAATAAAAAGAATCTGACACCTTTTTCAAAATAAATTTTCTTGATAAGAAAACTTGAAAGTTATAACGTTGTAACACAAATAAAACCGAAATTTACAAAGTTATATTTGGGTTGCTTTTATAAAAGGAAATGTGCTTATAATAAGAAAAATGTAAGTACAAAGCCATAATTAAAAGATTTTACAAAAAAAAAAAAAAAAAAACCCTTAAAAAGTGTGATGCTATAAATAGGTTGATTTTCAAAGGAAAATGTTGTATTTGAATAAAAAGAATCTGACACCTTTTTCAAAATAAATTTTCTTGATAAGAAAACTTGAAAGTTATAACGTTGTAACACAAATAAAACCGAAATTTACAAAGTTATATTTGGGTTGCTTTTATAAAAGGAAATGTGCTTATAATAAGAAAAATGTAAGTATAAAGCCATAATTAAAAGATTTTTCAAAAAAAAAAAAAAAAAAAAAAAAACCCTTAAAAAGTGTGATGCTATAAATAGGTTGATTTTCAAAGGAAAATGTTGTATTTGAATAAAAAGAATCTGACACCTTTTTCAAAATAAATTTTCTTGATAAGAAAACTTGAAAGTTATAACGTTGTAACACAAATAAAACCGAAATTTACAAAGTTATATTTGGGTTGCTTTTATAAAAGGAAATGTGCTTATAATAAGAAAAATGTAAGTACAAAGCCATAATTAAAAGATTTTCCAAAAAAAAAAAAAAAAAAAAAAGCCTTGAAAGTGATAATATTGTAATAGTAAGAAAACTAAAAATTTCAATACTATAAATGGGATGATTTTTTTATTGATTTTTCAAAGTAATATGCCTTGATAAGAAAAAGCTTGAAAATTGAAAAGTTATAATAACTGATTTTTCTTATGGAAATGTGCAATGCTATTAATGGGTTGATTTTTCAAAAGGTAATTAGCTGATATAAAACTGAAAGTAAAATGCCTTGAATAGAAAAAAAAAAATTAAATGCCATAACGCTATATAAAAAGAAATCCATAAAGTGGAAAACTGTAAGTGGATTGATTTTTTTTTTTAAATGTGCTTATAATAAGAAATCTGAAAGTAGAATGCTATATATGGTAGATTTTTCAAAGAAAAATCTCATAAAAAAAAAATTTAGAAAGTTATAATGTTGTATTAGAAAGAAAACTGAAAAGTACAATGCTTAACTGGGTAGATTTTTCTAAAGTAAAAAGCCTTGAAAAGAAAATTTGATACATTTTTGAAGGTAAAATGCCATTAAATAAAGAAACTTTAAAGGTACAATGTTGTAACAGAAAGAAAAGTAAAAAAGAGCAATGTTATAATTTAGTTTATTTTTCAAAGGAAAACGTGTTAATAATAAAATAACTGAAAGTACAATACTATAACTGGTTGGTTTTTCAATGAAAAATGACTTGATGAGAAAAAAATATGTAGTAATAAAAAGAAAACTAAAAAGTCCAATGCTATAATCGGGTTGATATTTCAAAGGGAAATGTGTTGATAATTAAAAAAAAAACAAAAAGGTACTTATAATAAGAACGATGAAATCATATAATTGGTTTATTTTTCAAAATAAAATGCCTTGATAAGATAAATTTTGAAAATTATAATGTTTTAGGAAAAAATGGGTTCATTTTTTATGTAAAATGCCTTGATAAGAAATAACTTAAAAGTTACAATGCTGTAACAAAAAATAAAACGGGAAACTGCTATGCTATAATTGGGTTGTTTTTTTAAAAGAAAATGTGCTTAAAATATAAGCATGAAAGTAGAATGCTATCATTGGTGAAAATTTTGAAACAAAATGCCTTACCATAGAAAAAATGTGATTAGATTTTTTAATGTGAAATGCTTTGCTAAGATAAAATTTGAAAGTTATAATGTTAAAACATAAAGAAAACCAAACAGTGTGATGCTATAAATGGTAGATTTTTCAAAATAAAATGTATTTATAATGGAAAATAAAGATAGATTGTTAAATTGTTTTAATAGAAAGAAAACTAAAAAGAGAGTTGCTATATTTTGTTGATTTTTCAAAATAAAATGCCTAGATAAGAAAAAACTTGAAAGTTACAATACTGTAACATAAATAAAAATGGAAAGTGCAATGCTATATTTTGTTGATTTTTTAAAGGGAAATATGCTTATAATAAAAAAATATGAAAGTACAATGCTATAATTGGTTGATATTTCCAAACAAAATGCCTTAATAAAGAAAAAAAAAAAACAATATATTTTTTAAAGTAAAAAGCTTTGCTAAGATAAAATTTGAAAGTTATAATGTTATAAAAGAAAGAAAACTAAAAAAGTGTAATGGTATAAATGGTAGATTTTACAAAATACTTGACAATGAAAAATATGATAGCTTCTCAAAAGTAAACTGACTTGATAAGAGACTATTTGAAAGTTATAATGTTGAGAAAGAAAACTAAAAAGTGTGATGCCATAAATGGGTTGATTTTTCAAAGTAAAACGGCTTTGATAAGAAAAGAAAAAATGATAGGTTTTTCAAATAAAAAAAAAAAAACTTGAAATTTACGATGTGGTAACACAAATAAAACTGAAAACTTGAAAATGAAAGAGAAATATATGTATAACAAGAATAAAAACAAAAGTATTTTGGTATTTCTTGCATTTGGTTTAAAATGGTAATCAGTGTAAAGAAAATATATAGGTGTTTAGTAGAGCATACCTGGATTAAGTTCTGAAAGTATTTTGCAATTTCTCAGTGTATAACGAGATTCAATATCTCCACTATAAGTGACAAGAAATAAGAACAGATGTTTAGAATCACTCAATTGTCAATGAGAATATTCAAATTGAAAAAGATTAGCAACAGCAGAACGTTAATATAAATAGTGAAAGGAGTTATATACAGATTAAAGAAAACTCTTGCTTTGAATTCCAAAAAGAATGATCACGTCTCAATTTAAGTATCAAATATCTTAGATTTCGTCTTCAAAAAAACTGCAGAGAACTATATAAAATTAAAAGAAAAAAAAAATAACTAAACCCTAAAAGAATTAAGTTTTCAAGATCACAGTCGTTGCTGTTGTTAAATGCCGACAACACAAAGTGCAGTCAAAAGCTGGGTTAACATTTATCTACAGATGATCGTTAAAGTTATTAGACCCTAAAATTAAGAACTTTTACAATCGAAAGAACATCAACAGATAACGTGTTTTAGACCAATTAAACCCTAAAGAAATTCAAGTCGATGTGGGTTTAGAGAAAGGATAAAATTACCTAAAGAAAAATGAGAAGGATAACAGCCAAGAACGCTTGCTTTCCGACATCATCGTCTTCTTCCACTGTCGCCGATTTCTACAGATTTGTTTGTTCTGGAGGTGCCACTGTTTCTTGAAACCGGAAAAACGACTAATATCAGAAACTACAAGTGTTTAACGAAGAACCCAAGAACCTACAACGGAAAGAACATCATCAACGCATAGTGTGTTTAAAACCCTATAGAAACGCATAGGTATTTTGAATCTAGAGAAAGAAAAAGATGAGGAATATACCAGGAACGAAACAGAAAACGATTAACATCCATGATGCGATGTCAAGAAAAGAAAGGTGGATGCGATCATGCGAGAGGAGAGGAAGAAGAAACATGGCCTGGCCCTCGATTTGTAGTCAAACGAACCGTTTCTGAATATCATGATTTTGATTTTTGATAATGAATCTTATGCATTAAATAACTAAAAAAAATTGCACCGGTTTCGTATTATCAATTATGATCTTACCGGTTACAAATCGTTTAACATTAATATCCGATATACTACAAGACATTTAATATGCATTGCGAATAATATATAAAAAATAATATAAATAACAAAAATATATTATTTAGTTAAAGTTTAAATCTGTATTGCGAATAATATATAAAAAATAATATAAATAACAAAAATATATTATTTAGTTAAAATTTAAATCTGTGACGAAATCTGAAGTTGTTTGGACTCTTTTTGTTAAATAAGATTAAACATAGCTAATCTAGGTAAATTTTGTTATCATGGTTTTATAGTTAAAAATATATATGTAGTAAATTTCTCAAAAAAGTAAATTGTGGTAAAAACAATTCATTTAAAATGATGAGATGTGATTACAAGTTGTCAACTACCATTATAAATTTGTCGTTATAAAATATGTAAAGATAATCTGATAGTTAAATTAGTGAATAAACGTTAGTTTCAACCATTGTCGATTATTGAATAGCCGGTCCTTGTTGTAGGATAACAAACTAAAAACTTATTTTCAAATCAAATATATGTAAAAAAAATTAAAAGCAATTGAATGTAATAAAATGAATCACGAAAAGGGTGTCGTTTTTAATGGTTGGTATTGTTTAATTATAACAATAATAATAAAATAATTATTAATTTTCATATGATTATGTATATTAAATTTGTTTTATTATTATCTATTTTTGAGACACCATTTGATCTTGATCTCAAAAATTATTATTTATCAATCCAAATTATTATCAAATTCAACAATTTGTGGGTGTTTCTATAAACATTTATAACCGGTTTTTAATTGTTATTTGTAAAAATAATTCCAAACCACATATATATTTGAAAGTAATTAAATTTGAGTCAAACCCAAGAAACACATTTAGTCGGCTAACTTGCAGAAAAAATGTCATTCATTTGGTTTTCATAAAAACACAAAGGGGCTAGAAAGGAAACAAATTTAGTTCGATCCCTTGAAAATTTGTGTTATCAGCTACAAAAGTATTATATCAAAATTTGAAATTGTAACAAACTTATGCACACTGATTCTTCAAAAACTCATAAACACTATGTAAACTCATAAACACTATGTTATACCTCAGCTAACAAATAACACAACAAGAGATCCATATTTAACCTTTGTTTATAGTTTCTTCATGTCGGGGAGAATAAATTTTGTTGAACTCATGGTGTTCACACCACTTGACAATTTACATGCTCGACTGGAGTGATAAACAAATTGTACACTTTGTCTATAAATCAGAGAAGACATAAAAAGTAAATAATTAACGGTTCCGCCCAAAAGTAAAACTCTCCACATTTTGTAGTAGAGACTGCTCTTGCCAACATGTACATAGAAAAAAATTGACTCTGAGTTTGTAGCCTATCATTAGTAGCACAAAATATAGATAGTGATATTTGTACCTTACAATAAAAAAAAGGGACACATATCTTTTAAAAATTAAGGCCATAAACCTAGAAGGTCTATTCAATAATGAAAGTAACACATACTGTAGCCTTAGTAAATGATTTCAACCACTTCTAACCCTAAAATCAGTAAGTATGATCATAATTATAAATTTTAACGATTGGGATATGCCTACACTTCTTTACAAAAAAATTATCACAATGTTTTAACATTGTTAGCACCCATGAGTCATCCCATTAGTAAAAAAATAACTTCAAGGAGTAAACAGTTAAATAAAAGAACTGAGTGCATGGGAAATTAAAGATATAATTATATGAACCTAAATGGGGAACAATGTAGAGAGAGAATGGAGCTTGGAAGAAAATTAAAGATATGAATATAAAACCTCATTGGAAGTTCTCCTCTTACTCAATTCAACAAACATGCAATAATGTTGTCAACCATTTTCAATCTAGAAAATGGACATGAACATTGTAAACCAATCACTTTCTACTTAATAAGAATTCTTCAAATTGATTTTTATTACGAATGCATAATAGGTATATAAGTTAACATAAATTCACACGATGCTTCAATCACAATAAGATTACCTTTTGTCAAGTGTGGTGTCAGGTTCAGTGACAAAAATCCATGACTTCCCTGCTACACATGAAACTGGATCCCCAAACCATAAGAATTTTTTTTTTGTTAGGTAAGCTATCTAGTCATGGTTCTTGTACATGCATATGTGATTTATACATACACATGTAAATAGCACGTAATCTTAAATATATTATTTCGTTTAAGCATTTTCACAAACACTTGGTATACATGTAAGTATGTAACCTAAATAGCGATAAAAATTAAAACATAATCACTCCGAATGCTGAAACACATAAACCATGGAATAGAGATGACAATACTTATTAACAATTTGGTTGCCACAGATCTTAATCAGGGACTTAAGTTCAAGAAATTAGGATGGTTAAGGAAAACCTCTTTGGAAGCAAAACAAAGCTTTCGAATCTCCGATTTTGAGAACGGAAACTGCTTTGGAACGGATCCAACCTTAGCATCTAAAAGCTTCTGGATGAACCTGTCAGCACCACATCCTCAATTTCCGCTAAAATTTTAAATCCATGAGTTTCTTGTTTTTTTTATAATCTTGACAGAGATGATGAAGTAGAATAGGGCATAAAAATACAATATGGTTTAAAGAGATAGTAAGGTTATAGAAGAAATGGAGGGGTTCAAATCATACATGAAAGAGGTGATTTGTCGAGATTTAGGATTATTGAGATATCAAATTGAATCAGATCCTGATTTGAAGGGATTATAACCGAATGGTTTATGTGAACACCTACAACAAGTTCAATGGTAAATGAGATATAAAAAAGGAAAATGACCAAATGAGTACAGAGACAATAGTTAATTACCCTCATAAATCATTATCCCTTAAGTTTATGACCTTAATAGCTTAATAACTAATTAGCTCATTAGCTTATAAAGTAAAAAAAATGTTTGAATTAGCTTATGACTTATAAGCTAATAAGCTCTTTTCAAAATAGTGTTTGGGTTAGTTTATTTTTTGTAAAATGACCAAAATGGACATGCTTACATTATACAATTGGGGAAGAGAGATATGGTGTTTTGGGGAAAGAAGAATAAGGGTAAATACGTAAATATACATAAATAAGCTTTAAAAATTAAAGCTAAATATAAATGGCTTATGAAAATTGGCTTATTTTTAAGTAAAATAAGCTCATAAGCTTAAGCCAATAAGCTAACCCAAGCACTAATTTCTTAATAAGCTTAAAATATAAGCCTACAAGCTAAAAAAGCCTGAAAAATAAGCTAAAAAAACACCCTCTTCATTGCGAGCTTGCGAGTGTCCATTTATTTATCTTGGGCTTCCTATTGGTGCAAATATGAAACTTACAAAGAATTGGAATTCTATTGTTGAGAAATTCAAATCTAAAATCTCCTTATGGAAAGCTAGAAATCTTTGTTTCGGTGGTAGACTCACTCTTGTTTAATTTGTGATGGGTAGTCTGTTGGACTAGGTGTCTAAGCACATAATTATATTTGATATGTACTTGAATTGATAACAGCATAGTTCTTTTGGGTTGCCCTCAAACCTAACAATTGGACAAGTAAATTATGAAATGGTGTAAATTAATTTATCATAAGATTAATAAATTATTATAAATGATTTATTAATGTAATATATTAATTAGAAATCATAATATTTAATTAATATTTAATTGTATTAATTGTTAAGTACAAGGACTATAATTAATATATTAATTGTATTAATTGTAAAGTACATGGACTAGAATTAATATATTAATTGTATTAATTGTAAAGTACATGGACTATAATTAATTAATGTAATATATTAATTAGTAATCATAATATTTAATTAATTATAATTAATTTTTGGGTAAAGTGTATTAATTGTAAAGTATAAGGACTAGTTTGCAATTATTAAATAGTTGGAAGAAATGTTCCAAAACCTCTTTGGAGGAGGTGGACGAAATTCATAGGGGAAACCCTAATGAATTCGTCCAAGGGCCTTGGATAAGGCTTATGGATTTGCTTAGGCCCTAAGTAGGGGAATCCTAGGGTTATCCCTTAAACCCTAGCTTTGGGGCTAAGTTACTTTGACTATTTAAGGAGCCTCCTAGCTCCTAATTTCGTCTATCCCTACACTTGGAGAAACTCAGACCGAAAATTGCATCCCTCATCTCCTCTCTCTATAGGTTCCTTCTTTCTAACTCTTGGGTGTAATTCCATTAGAGGCACGACAATTGTGGTGCTATGCTTCCAAGAAGATCAAGATCTATAGATTATCAACTGTTTACTTTAACAATTAAAAGGTATGTAATTCTTAAACCCTTTCTAGTTATTATCGAAAAATAGGTTATGCCCTTAGGGTTCTTGTTTTGCAATTCAAAGTTATATGTTCAATAGTTAAAACATAGATCCAAAGTAGGTTGCATGTGAACTTAGGAATTGTTTTTCTAGTTTATTTGTTTTACCTAAAACCTATCATAGTCTTCCCTTTTTTTACTTCTCACTTATCAAAGCTCCGGAGAAATCTTAGATTTGTTAGAGCGCATTAGAAGAAGATTTATTTGGAGCGGCTTGGAGGATAAAAAGAAAATTCATTGGGTGGATTGGAATACAGTCACTAGACCCAAACACAAAAGCGGCCTAAGGGTTGGTTGTCTTCTATCTTCGGTCTTTGAACATTGCGCTTTTTGCTAAATGGTGATGGAGGCTAAAAGTCGAATATACTTCCCTTTGGTCCTCATGTATTAAAGCTTTCCATAATGTCGAAGGATTTGATGGGAAACCTTTTGCCAAGTGCGGTATTCCAGGGAATATTAATTAAGATAATCAAAGTTCTATTAAAATCAATTCTTCACTCCTAAACAAAAACCTCCTGAAGGGAATATATATATATATATATATATATATATATATGTATATGTATATATATACCAAAAAGACCATTCTACCCCTAAAGCCAAAAAGATAACAGAATAACTCCAATAACCAACCCAACTAAAAGCACTCTAGAATTAGTTGGGGCTTATCA